TAGTCGCTTCTCTCTGGCCCAAGTGGAAAACTGGAAACGCGAGCTAACCCTTTAAGTAGCGCAATTCCTCCACTTTGTAGCAAAGAGAAAACGTGGGGACGCTTCCCAACTCCGAACAAAAAGTTTTTCAGGGGTCAGGGAGGCAGCAGAGGACAAGGGTTTCCGCCAAGAGGTTGGAGAATCCGGGCAGGCAGTCCGGGGACGTCGGGATCCGCCGAACCTTGCCGCTTTGGGAGAGCACAACCCCCTTACCCTGGCTCCCGGGGTTGGATGCCAGTCTGTGCGTGACAGCAGCGCCAGACGTAGGGTCAACTAGGAGCAGGTAGCTGGGCCCCTTCTGGCTCCTTTCAGACCCTCCTCTCCTGGTGAGGGAGGGCACAGGGAGGAGCGAGCGGGAGGAGTGCGAGGGAGATGCCCAGTTTGCAGTTCCACGACCTCGGTCCAGCGTTTCTAGCGCCCCCACCCTCACCCGCTCCCAACTGCATTCTTTTCTTAATTGCTCTGCTGCGGCCAAGTGCCTGCTCTTCGGGTTCCCGGCCAAGGCCAAACATCGCCAGGAAAGGCGCCAGGAGCGCTCCCAACGCAGAGTGGGCTAGAGTCAGGCGGCACCCGGGCAGGACCACGGATCAGGGCAAACAAAGTCCCTCGCGGGGGAGGGAAGAATCGAGCCCAACGGACTTCTTTGTTCTTATTCCCAGGTGCACAGCCCACTCAGCAAATAAAGGAATTCGTTCTTGAGGGGGAATCTTAGGAATGGCGGCATGATGGCTCAGGTTCGCAAAACTTGCTAGTCACTGTCCACTTGCATAATGATGAGGCGCCTGAGCCGGAGAGGAGCCGGAGGGAAGGCAAGGGCAGGTCTGACGCACTGGCCAAGTTGCGAGGGCCCGGGGCAGTCACCCCCAGAGAAGCTGGGGCAGTGGGAGCCGCTTGGCCAGCTGCGTTTGCCGGAGCACCTCGGGCCCTGCCCCGACCCAAAGGCAGCCTCCACCGGAGGCGGGAGTTGTGGAACTCCAGTTCTCACGGTGCAGGTGTTGCCCCCAGCCCCGAGCTCACAAGTCAGCGCGATCTACACAAAGTAAGCGGGCCTCCGCGCCTTTCAAACCAGAGGTTCTAAGGCCACTGGTACCGGAAAAGCTAGGGGAAACTTCTTGGAGTTAGTCGCACCGCTGGGAAGGGTTCAAAGACCGCGGAAGCTCCCTGAGGGACGCCAGGAGAGGACGGAGGCCGTGGAGCCCCGCAGACGCGGCCAGTGCACACCTGTGCCAAGGCTTAGGAAAGAAACTGGCATTAAGACGCACGCCCCGCCACCCGCGCCGCACCCCGTGGCTCCGGGCTGTCATCCGGCGAGCGTGCGGGCGTGCTCGCTCTCCGCGTTTCTGGGAAAAACGCCCCGCAGAGGGGCTGAGGGCGGGGACCAGCAAGGCTTTTATTGGGCTCCACTGTTTTGTCCCCCACCTTCTAAGAAACAACGGTCTCGCTTGTAGCAGGATTAGACCTTTGGGGGGGGGGGTGCTGCTTCGGGGATGCGCAGGCTGCGCGCTGGGGCAACGGAGTGCTCCCCGGCTGCGGGACGCGGGCCCAGCGCCCAGGGGACGGTGCAGCGACCCTGAGCCGGTCCCGGAGGGCCCGCGCGCCCGACGGCCGCAGTCTGTGCGGTGCCACTCGGGGCTGCTCTCGCTCGCGCTCCGGAGAAGCGGCTCTTCCCGATTGCGCGCGGGCGGGGCGCTCCTCTCCCTACAGGTTTGCTTTAATGATTTTCTCGAGAGAAAGAGACAGTTGTGAGCAAACAGGTTTGACAGGGGCTGCTCCCCCCCCCCCACACACACACCCTCGGGGGAGTTCTTTTTGTCTGCGCCTGACTTCAAAGTCGGTAATCGGCCCCTGTCGGAGGCGTGACGGGGATTGGGCTGTGGGCTAGGGCGAGTCGCGGCCGGGCACCTCGCCGGACTCTGAGGCCTGCGGGAGCCGAGCAGGGGACCAGGGGGCGAGGTGTGTTGGGCAGAAGGGGTCTGCGGCTTGACACGCCCCACGCTGGACCTCAGCTCTGTGCGGGATGGAAAGAGGGCCGAGTCACCTGCGGGCTGCGCCCGTGAGCCTCCCGGCGACAAGGCACCCCAGCTTCGCAGAGCTCCCCTCGGAGCCCCGGGGCCGGGCGCAGTCCGGAATCCAGGTTTCCGTTTTTCAGTTGCCTCGGCCGCCGCAGGCCTTTGCGGTTCAGACCCGCCCGATGCCCCCTTTCAGCCTAACTCTACTTTGGAGTTGGCGGGTTACCCTGGTGAGGCCTGGTGCGCGCGGGGATCTTTCCCGGGCTGGGCGAGCTGGGCTCGGCGGGGGAGACACTCAGACCCCTCTAAGCTTCATCTCAGGAGACGTTAAGGGACACAGAGCTATGAGGGAGATCAGAGCGCCTGACAGCACTGTCAGTTGGGGTTATATCAGACAGCGAACCCGCGGCGCCTCCGCCCCAGACCTCCTTTGCTTCCTAGGGGGCGGGAGGAGGGGCCTTCCCTTTGCGCCGGGAGCCCCCCACCCACCCCCGACTGCATGGCCACCAGAGGCAAGTCACTTCCTAATTGTCTCGATTTGTAAGAGGGTTTTGTGATGCTAAGTAAGCGTGGCGCAGGCCTCCTGGCCTCCCCCGCACCTCCCCCAGCCCGTCTTTGTTTACCTTCGCCTGATCGCTCATTTATTTATCTATCTATTATTTATAGGCGTCCCCTCCTATTCAGCGCCCGTGTATGTTAATTGTGTTATACCATTTAATTCTAACATCGGTCTCAAAAGAGCTCTTAATGAGAAAAGCATATACAACACGGATCACTTTGCCATTCAGCTCAGCCAGATGGACAACTAACTTTCTTTTTTTAATAATGAAAATCTCTTTGACAAAGGGGCTCGGATGAATGGGCTCCAAATAGCACCTCAAACACTACTAATTGTTTTGAGGACAATATGTTAATCCGCCGGCTCCGGCTTGGGTGCTTCCCTCGCACCTCGAACCACCCATTCCCCTGGCACCGCGTGGCCCCCACCCCAACAGCAGCAGAAAGCTCGCAAGCCCCTAGGCTGCCCCACCCCACGCGCGCCCTATGGAGGCCGGAGAGAAAAACAGGCGTCCTGCGGGAAGACCCGCGTGAGCGAGGCGGTGGTGGCGAGGCAAGGAGGGTGGGGCGCATCCTTGGATCTGAGAACAAGTTCCAAAGAGTCGCGCTGGCATCAAAGGGACCCTTCTCGCGAAACAGTAACCCTGACAGCCGGGGAAGCTTCGGGCTCTTCCCGGGCGTGATCAGCGCCAAAGACAGAGTTAGTAAATTCTTAAGGTTCCTTTCTTTCTTTCTCTCTTCCTTCCTTCCTTCCTTCCTTCCTTCCTTCCTTCCTTCCTTCCTTCCTTCCTTCCTTCCTTCCTTTCTTTCTTTCTTTCTTTCTTTCTTTCTTTCTTTCTTTCTTTCTTTCTTTCTTTCTTTCTTTCTTTCTTTCTTTCCTTCTCTCTTTCTTTCCTTCTCTCTTTCTTTCCTTCTCTCTTTCTTTCTCTCTTTCTTTCTTTCTTTCTTTCTTGAAAAGCTCCTTGCCTTGGCAAGTCAATATCAGCCTCCTCCTCCTCCATTTGCTCCCGCGGGGTCTTAGTAAAAAACAAACAAACAAACAAACAAACAAAAACCAAATCTCTGACAGGGACCTAGGTCACGTCATTTTGCATTTCTTAGCCTTTCACTTTCTAACTCAGCAACTAGTGTCCAGATTGCTCATAGGAGCCTCTCCAGAGGGCTAAAGGACCAGCACACGATCCCACCCGCCCCCTCCCGCTCCTTGAACTTAAACATTCCCCGCAGGCAGCGGTGCTCCACGCGCAAGCTGCGGGCTCCCAGGGGCATTGGCGCTTCTCCCCTTTGGAATTGGGTTTAGAAAAGTTAACACACCCGGGCTCCGGTTGGAGTGAGCTTTGTTTTGATTTATTTGCTCCTGAAATGGTCTGACCCTTTGGTGAAGAACTGGGGAAGGAGGGATGCCCCTTTTTGGGGGGCACTAAAGGCCAAAGCCCGACAGGTCTCAGCCTCTGGGCCACTCTGCAGCCTCCGCTGGCACAAGCTGCCAGTGGTGAGCGCTCAGCTTCTCCGAGACCCTGGGACTGACTCCCTGCCTAGACCTGGCTTGCTGACTTCAGATTTTATGCACATCAAAGGTTACTTTTTGCAATGACAGATTGTCTTTATTCAAAACGCCTTTGTTCAACAAATGAACAGAATGAAGAGGTGAAATCCTTGCAGGTACATTTCCAAGACATCGTCAAAAACAGGTGTGATCATTTAGGATGTTTTTTTAGCGTTTTTCTTTAAGTTCACTTTCTACTTCTCCTGATTTCATAACCCGACATTCTGTCTAAAAAGTAAACTTAGTTCTCTAGGTGCACGGTTTGACACAAAGTAAATAACCATATGGGTCCTTTTTGCTTTTCCCTTCAAAGAAGCAAACACCATCATAGCATGGTTTCAGATAGAAATGGTTCCCTTGCTGTAGTTTTGAACTTTCAAGTCTTTGCCCCCCCGCCCCCAAACGAGAAGCATAAATGGCATCTGATTGTGTCTAATGGCAAAACACAGGGACATGGCCAATTCTTTGTTTCTTCAGGGGGCAGAAGCCCAATAAAATAAAAAATATATATGCATATTCTAGATATAATATCAGGATTTGGGAGTTCGGCGTCCAGTGCCCATCCGAGGAGAGTGAAGGGGACATAGAGAAAGCGAAATTGCCTACATCTTTGTCCAAAGAGGGTGCAGCCAGAGGTTTGGGGAGAGTCAGGATAGGGCTGGCGCACTGTCATTAAGAGCTGTAAGTTTCTGCACCTGTCTGCGCCTCAGGCGGGGAGGACGCCCCTCCCATCACTCCTGAAGAAGAGAGAGGCAGAGTCGGGGCCAGGGTGAGGGGGACCGGCAGGACTGGGCCAGAGACTGCTGCAGGCCAGGGCTAGGTGCAGAGGCCGGGGTGCCAACCCCCACTTCCAGGCCACCCTTCTGGTCCGGGAGGAGGGCCCCCCGCCTGGCTGGGGTGTTACATGGCTGTGGCGTGGGCTGACGAGTAAGGGTCTATGCCAGTCTTGGTCATGCCTGGGAAGAGGATGTAGGCGACAGGGGGCTGCAGGGTGGAGGCCGACCAGGCGGTACAGTTACAGGGCACCACGTAGCCAGGGTTGGTGGGGGACGGGTGCGTGTGCGTGTGCTGGCTGGGGCAGCTGAGGCCGCCGAAGGCGCCGTTCTGGTAGCCCAGGGTGGACGCGTAGGGCAGCGCGCCGGTGGCCAAGGTGTGCGGCACTTCGCCCATCTTCTGGATGGCGCTCGAGCTAAACTGCGCGGGGTCCAGCAGGGAGTAGGGCGCCGAGGCCGGCGGCAAGAAGGCCCGTGCTTTCTCGGGCGCACTCAGGAGGCCGTCGGAGGCCCCCACGGGCAGGCCGGCCGCCTTGAGCGGGTCCGTGTCGCCCAGGTAGGGCAGGGGGAAGACATACCTGTCCTTCTTGAGCAGGTTCTTGGGTTTGCGTCGCGGTCGGTACTTGTAGTCGGGGTGCTCCTTCATGTGCTGCGCGCGGAGTCGCTTGGCTTCGTCGATGTACGGCCGTTTTTCTGCCTCGGATAGAAGCTTCCATTCGGCGCCCAGGCGTTTGCTGATCTCCGAGTTGTGCATCTTGGGGTTCTCCTGGGCCATCTTGCGCCGCTGGCCCCGGGACCAGACCATGAAAGCGTTCATGGGCCGCTTGATGTGGTCTGAAGGTTTGGACATGGTCCCGGCGGCTTAGGCGGGCGGGGTGGGTAGTGCAGGGGCTCTGAGGCCGAGTCTGGCCGTCTGTCTGTCCGTCCGTCCTGGCCCGGGGCGCTGCGCCCCACGCCTAGGCGCCGCTGAAGGGAAGCCGGAGACGAGAGCTGACCCCGGACACAAAGTTCAGCTGATCATGCCAGCCAGTCCCGGCACCCAGGCAGCCCCGGGGGGCGAATGAGGGGCAGACGGGCGGGGGCGGGAGGAAGCAGGGCGGTCAGCCAGCGACTGCGGGCACCAGAGGCTGGGCTCAGTCCCCCATTCACCGGAGTCTCCGGGATTAAGGTAGCCAGGTAATTTTCTGGCGAGGGCAGCAGGCTCCTCCTTCTCCCCTGCTCCACCTGCGCCTTCTTTGCGTCCCCGGTCCCCTCTCGCGTCTCTGGCCGTGGCTCCCCCACCCTCCCGTGGCTTTTCCGGAGCTGCCTCGCCTAGCGCTGCACCTGGCTGAGAAGGCAGGGATGGTGAACGCGAGCCAAAAGCGGGGAAGTTCAAAGGCGAGGTGGGCCCGGACGGCGAGCACTCTGACATAAGCGCGGGGCGGTGACTCCCCAACCTGGGCGCCAATCAGCAGCAGAGGAGGCGAGGGGGTGCACCTGCCAACGCGCGGGTGGAGGAGAGAGGGAGCGAGACTAGTAGGGGGGCGGGGAGAGGTGTGAGGGAGAGATCCCGAGAAGCCGAGAACCCAGCCGCTAACTCGGGGTGCCGGTTGGGGCTTATTGTCTCTGGCCCGGTTTATAAAACTCTGGGCGCCGCTCGTTCTTTCCGCGCAGTTGTGTGAGGGAGAATTAGTGCTTCAAATTCTAAGTTCCGGGGAGGAAACAGAAAAAGGGAGTGAGCCTAGAGCCCCTGTTGGTAAATAGGACCTCCTGGCCACGAATGCAAGGACAGCCGGTCCTCCCTGGCCAGAGACTCTTGGAAGAGCCAAAGAATACGGTTGACTCGGGGTAGAAGGTGAAAATAAACTTTGTGCTCTAGCCCCAGGGTGGTCCTTGACAACCTACCCTGGGGACCGGGTCTCTGCTTCTGCCCCTGGACGCGGAGCCCGGGTGTAGCTCTGCGCCCCGGGAGTCGATGCCCAGGCACCTCGCGTCTGCTTGGGCTCAGGTGCGTCTTTCTAAAGGGGCGTTCTTAAGAACGATCTGCTCCCCGCTCTTCTGAAGGAGGTGAAGAGGGTTTTTGCTCTGAGCCCTCCCACTTTTCTCCCCACCATTGTCCAAACAGGTAGGAGAGCCTGGAAGGATGCGGACCCTGGGGGCCTTTCCTTCGCCGCTTCTGCTGCGGTGCTGCAACGGTCTCCGGCTGTCTCAGCCAGGCTGGGCTCCTCCCCGGCGTCTCTTCCCACCCGGCGGGGCTGCGAGATTCGTTTCTCGAGTCAGATGAGCATTCTTCGAGTAAAGAGGACGAAATGACCCGCAGAGCCAACCTGCGCGCCTGTTTCCTTTGAATAATTGCCTGCCCGATGTGAAACGCCCTTGGGGGAAATATTTATTAAATGGAAACCATTGTCCCAGGCGCGGAGGGACTTGCGAGTGTTCCAGGTTTATTGGCTTTTGCACCAGCCTCTCTCGGGAGGACGGGCCAGAGACGGGTACCGGGCTTGGTTGGTCTGGAGAGGGGGAGGCAGACAGGAGGCAGGAGCGAGGAAGGAGGGTCTTTCTCTAGCATGTGTGGGTTTGAAGGACTTGATTTCTTCTTCCTGCTATTAGACGTGTGAAACTTTTTACCCTCAGCACAGCTCTTCGGACAGGTGGGCACTAATCCCATTTTATAGACTGGGCAACTGAGACTGAGAGGTTATGCGATTTGCCAAAAGTGACCTGGCTGGTGGGAGGCGCTGACGCCAGGTGTGCATAGGATTCGAAATCTCCCAAATCACTTCCACCCCTCGCGGCACCACATGTGAGAAATGTGTCTGTGGTGCAGCCACGCGCGGAACCCTAGACGAGTTTACTGCAGAGTAAATAAACGGGGCGGCCGGTGAAATCCCAGGTTCCGGTGAGCACACGGGCTTGCTTCAGCACATCCTCCCCGCTAAGGGCGCCACCCCGGCACGGGATGCTGGGCAGGCGAAAGCCTTTGCGTTCCTCCTCCTCCTCACGCAGCTCCAGAAGCCGCTATCTGGCTTTCCTTGCTTGTTTTCTCTGCGGTTTCGTTCCATTTAGGGTTTCACGAAGCGGAAACACTTTCCTGCCCCGTTGGGGGAAGGCTTTGCCAAGTCGCAGGAAACCTTTACTGGACTTGCCGCAGCGCTGCGCTCAGAGCTTGTCAGCTTCAGAGCTCCAGGGGCCACGCGACTCTCTCCGTCCGGCAATCCACACGGTTTTAGGAACGCACACAGAATATTCCTATCTACAGAGAGCTGGAGCATGGAGCAGGGACGCACCAGTTTCCCACCTTGGAACCCTTGGGTTAAGGCACACCCATCTCTCAGAAACTGAGATCTGGCACCGTGTCCCAGACCTTTCTGTGAGTTCAGCATTCAGCCTGCTCACACACCCTCCTTCAATTCTCTTGCTTCTTCCTCCTGTTCACCAAGCTCTTCTTCAGCCTCTTGCCCTCTGCCCTAGGGTACAATCCAAGAGCTACCCAATCCGGCACTGATTATTGAAAAGGGTGCACAATGGTGGCATGCCAGTTGGTGGGCAGAGCACCATCTTATCTGCAGGGCATCTGGGGCCCCTGGCTGCGTGGTCAGGCTGCAATGACTCTGGTGATGCCAGCCTTTCGCACCCCATGTCACCCCCCTCCTGCAGGGCCACACCTTGGCCTTGAAACCAGAACTTGGCACTAAGAGGGTCTTAACATCTCAGCCTCCTGGGTGAATCGCTCAACCACACCCACCTGTGTCTGTTCTGGGAGCCAAGCATTTATTCAAGATTCCTCAACTGGACGGGGGTGTTGCTTGGGGAAAGGCTGGAAGGGCACAGGGCCAGCCTGCTAATGACTGCAGCCTTTATATCTAATGGCTCTTGGGCTGCACTGTGTCTCCAATGTATGCCTTCCAACTGAGCCTTGGCCACGGGGCAGCACGTTCCAGACAGGTGACCTCTGGGGAGAACCAGCAGCGTCTGCTCCAAGTCAACAGGTATTAAGACAGAGGTTCCCTAAAGACTCTTCCTGCTCTGGTCACAGCAGATCTCAGGCTGCCATTCCACTCCAGGTGGAGACATCCCTGGAATGAGGTCTTCCTGCTCTCCCATTCCATTTGTTTCTTGACTCAGTTGCTCTTGACACGACTGAGGGTGGCTCCACTAGAGGTCCCAAGCCCCCAACAAGGTGGATCCTGTCAGCAAACCCTTGCTGTACAGAAAGGGGTCCTGGGTGTGCTCTCCCTGCCTTCTGCTTCCTTACACAGAGCCCAGGAGCTAGCAGGTGCACCCTCACCCTTTGAGCCTTTGCAGTCACTACTTTCCTCCTTTTGTCCCAGCCCCTTTGTAAGTTCCTCAGGGGTTAGTTGAGGGCATCAACACTTCTTTGATTCCTGGGCTGCACTAGGACTCTGTCAGCGTGGTATGGTGCAGCTCACAATTTCTTCGCAGTCAGGCAGGACTCAGGAGGCAGCTTCAAGCTCCACCAGGGTGGGGCTGCTAAATGTGCATCTTTGGGTGCCCAATGGCCACAAAACTCCAAGCTCAGAGAAAACGCTCAATGGTGTTTTCCTGCTGCACAGATCCAGGCAAATGTTCCCCACAGACCTTCTCCACCTTGCAGCTGCGGGGACTTGCAACTGCGGGGGTGGAGATTGGGGACCTGGATGCTGGCACCTGCCTGCCTGGCCTTCGTGCTCCGTTCTGCCCGCCACCCCATCATCTCTGGTGAGTAGAGCTGGTGGCTCCAGGTGTATGGTACCAAGAGAAGGCGGAGTGGTCAGAAAAAGGCACGCATCTTGCTGCTTGGAGAAGGCCATTGAAGGTGGAAAGAACAAGAGCAGCTGACGAGGCGTGGTGAGACATGGAGGCTTTAGGAAGAAGGCAGAAGCTCTCCCAGTGGCACACACTTGGTGGCATCAGTCCTTAGTGGTTATTGTGACCCTTCTGAGTTTGTGGGTAGACACTGAATTCAAAGGGGGCAGGTTCTGGGGAGCTCAGAATAGCCTGATTCCTTTTCTCAAGGTACAGTCAGGTGTTTAGCTAAGGGAGAGCTCATCTGGTCCACTTCTGAGCGCTAAGAACCCAGGTGCTAGCATGGGGTGATGAACTAACCTCACGGCATAAACACTTGGTTAAACCACAAGCTCAAGTTTGTTAACTTCTGACTACTCAATGTCCATTAGTCCAGAATTGTCCCCTGTCCTCGGTCTTATCAGCCGTATTCACTTCTTAGCACTAGAAGAAATAAACTCCCTTTAAGATTTGTTTTTGAACATTTGAGAAGGGGAGCCTCCCAATCGGCTGGCTCACTTGCCAAGTGTTCTCAATTGCCAGTACAGGGCCAGGTCAATGATAGGATGCCATCCACGTGCCCCACATGGGTGGGACTACCTGAGCCATCACCTGCTGCATCCCAAGGTGCATGTTAGCAGGAAGCTGAACTGGGATGGAACTTGCCAGAACTCAGACGTAGGCATGTGGGATTGCAATATCCTAACCCATGGATGGCTGAATAGAAGCAAACACACAGCACCATTCTAAGGACTTTGCTCACATGAAATCATTTCTAGTTTTTGTTAGCTAAAAATTTCAGTATTTGGCATCTCTGGGCCCCCTTATCTTATGCCTTGCTTTCTATTTTGAAACCTAGAAAGATCTCATATGTGCCTAGAGAGATCCAAAAGGACTCAGACTCTGGTCTTATTAAGATACTTTCTGGTAATTGCTCTGGGGCCAGCGCCACTTAGCCACCTGTAAAATCGAACTTGTGGTTTGCAAACAAGACAGAACAGGCATCAAAGAATGCACTTGCTGCCCACAACCAGGAGAGCTGACTGTATGTTGGCTGATCTGAGGACACTGCTGCCCCAACACCTGCGTGGAAGGAGGCTTTGATGCTTCACACTGCTTCAACATGACTCCGTTCATGTAGGAGCTCATGGGACTCGCGGATGAGGATCAAGTTTAATAGAAGATTGCATGCCATCTACACAATCCTCCAAATAGGGTAAATGGGAGCAGGACTAGGATGTTGACATCTTCCTGCTCACTTAGCAGTTTGGTGGCTATGTATAAAGCATCTACTTTGTGCAACATGTGGTTAGGTGGTGCGTAGAGCAGGGAATGGGATTTACAAAGGTACTTTTCCCAGACTGAATGTTACAGCACAATGGGAGGGCAGATGAAAAACAAGAAACAAGCTCCTGGAGTGATTCCTGACTATGTCTGTGTCCCGATTTCCTATCCTATAACACAAGTCTAATAGATTACTGGAATGAAATGATTTACTAGGACCAAAGCACTTAAAATAGTTCTGGGTGTGTAGAAACCTCTCAGAGATTGGCCAAATGCTATTGTT